TAATAGTCGTAGTAGTAGTCGTAGTAGTAGTCGTAGTAGTAGTAGTAGTAGTATTAGTAGTAGTAGTAGTAGTAGTAGTAGTCGTAGTAGTCGTAGTAGTCGTAGTAGTCGTAGGAGTCGTAGTAGTCGTAGTCGACGTAGTCGTCGTAGTCGTCGTAGTCGTCGTAGTCGTCGTAGTCGTCGTAGTCGTCGTAGTCGTCGTAGTCGTCGTAGTCGTCGTAGTCGTCGTAGTCGTTGTAGTCGTCGTAGTCGTAGACGTAGACGTAGTCGTAGACGTAGTCGTAGACGTAGTCGTAGACGTAGTAGTAGTCGTAGTAGTATTCGTAGTAGTAGTCGTAGTAGTAGTCGTAGTAGTAGTAGTAGTAGTAGTCGTAGTGGTAGTGGTAGTGGTAGTGGTAGTGGTAGTGGTAGTAGTAGTAGTAGTAGTAGTAGTAGTAGTAACAGTATAGTAGTAACAGTAGTAGTAACAGTAGTAGTAACAGTAGTAGTAGGAGTAGTAGTAGTAGTAGTAGTAGTAGTAAGAGTAAGTAGCAAGTAGCAAGTAGCAAGTAGCAAGTAGCAAGTAGCAAGTAGCAAGTAGGAAGTAGGAAGTAGGAAGTAGGAAGTAGTAAGTCGTAAGTCGTAAGTCGTCAGTATTTCGAACAAGATGTGTGCTTGTCACAGGTATCTGTTAGTGGTCGCAAAGACATGATTGCCCTCCCAGTCATCGCTTCTCACAAGGATTCCTTGACTTGTGCAGATTTGTGTTTACTCAAGGACACTACATGACACTACACTGTTTGGCTGTTTAGTACCCAATGAAGGAACGACGCTAAGCTTTTGAGCGGGCTGCATGTTGGAAAAGGTAGTGCGCATTTCTGCACACCCACGAAGACTGCCGCTTGGCTTCGTGGGGAATGTACTCGCTTCCACTGATAAATGTTCTGTTTTTCAAGGAATGCAACACACTTTCCCCTCGGGGCAAATCCTCCCGACCTTTCGCTTCCACTGGCACCCCCACCTCCCATTCCTCCCTCTTTCGTCCTCAGCCTTGGCCAAACCCGGACACGTCGGCGCCCCTGAAAGCAGCCAACTTCAAGCTCCAGGCTTCAAACTCCAAACTTCGGAGCCCCGACTGTTTTTTTAAGTTCCAAACTCACCGATATGCCAGACATGTGGCAGAACAAAGCAAAACAGGTCACACGTACTTCAATTTCATGTCAGGAATCCGTCAGGTATGTGTCAAATGCACTTGAAATTCCCAGTCTCGGTTTGCGCGTCTCAGATATAGAAAGATTTCGTGCCATATTTGCGTGTCTCAAAACGTGCACGGTTTTTTGTGCCAGATCGCATGTAAACTCAAGATGTCAAGTGATTTTTTTCAGGTGGACATGCCAGTGGTGTCAAATTCACTCCAACACACGCCCGAGACATACACCAAATATCCGCCATGCGTCAATTAGTTTGAGATACGTGTCATGTGTGCCTGCAAGCCTGCACCCACAATCATACATGCCACAAATAAATGCAGCTCACTACATGTTGAGGATCACTTAAAACTAACACTAGTTTTATAACTTCTTTCATCAAACTCCTAAGGGGATGACATGTGCTTGTAGGTTTGTGAGCCATTTCATAATTTGGAATAAACAGCTGCATACTCAACGGAATATCCTGGGCGTTTTTGAAAAGAGCTTGCAAAACTGTAATTCAGTCACGCGCTCGTGCTCAAGGAATGCTGCACTTCTCCAACAGAATTCCTGGACTACTTGAGAAAAACAGCACGCAGCACTTTGGAAGGAGCAAGCACCCCCATGAACGATGAACTAAAGTGGCGCCTTGCGCGCGCGAGAGAGAGAGGTTAGAACGCTGACAGCACGTATCTCCCTAACATCATACAAACAATTACAAACATCTTTGCACACATCCTGTTCACTGACATCGGGGCTGGGCTCATCAGAGCCCTTGAGCGCATCGCTGAAAACAGGGAGAGCCAGCTGCTGCAAGCTTCACTGACACCTACCATTTAAACATGGTAGCGGAGCTGTGATCTCCTCGTTGATCCGGTGCATCAGGGGTGAGCTCCCAGCAACAAGCATCAGCGGACCCATAGCAGGTGAGCCTGCAGCAGCGCAGCATCAACAACAAACATCACCAAACACACCGGCAGCAACAACAACAACGACGACGACGACGACGACAACAACAACAACAACAACAATAACAATAAAAGGACCGGATAACCCCACATGTCAAGCCTTTATGTATCTAAGGTTAATGTAAACTTCGGGGAGGTGTGAGAAGTGAGGTGTGAGAAGTGGACTTGTGATGTCAGGTGTGAGAAGTGGAGCTGTAATGAGTTCGGATGTGGTAAGTGAGGTGTGAGAAGGGGTGTGATAAGTTGTGATGAGAAGTGGACCTGTCAGAAGTGGAGCTGTGATGAGTTGTGATGAGTAGTGGAGCTGTGATGAGTGAGGTGTGAGAAGTGGAGCTGTGATGGGTTGGGATGTGATAAGTTGCGATGAGTTGTGATGAGAAGTGGAACTGTGAGAAGTGGAGCTGTGATGAGTTGTGATGAGCAGTGGAGCTGTGATGAGTGAGGTGTGAGAAGTGGAGCTGTGCTGACTTGGTATGTGATAAGGTGTGATGAGTTGTGATGAGAAGTTGTGATGTGATAAGTGGGTCTGTGATGAGTGGTGATGATAAGTCTACGGCGGCGGAGGCGGGAGCAGGAGCGGCGGGAGCCAAGTGAAAAACAAGAGCCCGGCACATGATACATGCAGCACACGCGCTCTTTTTCAAGAGAGGCCGCGCAAATGCAAGCGTCATCATTCTGCGCCGTGTATGGTGCCTGGCACAGGTGATGAGGTAAAGAATTATGAAATGAAATGATGCGTCTATGTGACTGAAAGTAGCGGAGTGATGCAGTGTCGTTTGTGTGTTTGCTGTGTTTCCCAAATTGATTGACAGGTTGGTGGTTTGAACCGCTCTGAATAGTACAATTCAGTTTGGTGTATTATTCCCATGCCAATGTTCACATAACTGTTGAAGCAAGGAATGCTAGGTCAACAGAAAAACTCCTGCACGCCAGATCTGAGCCATGAGCAGTGATAAGCACGAAGTGACGGCTTGCATGTCCTCCAATAACAACGCCTGCGCCGGTCAACATAACAACTTCTGCATGCAACATTTCTGCTTCATCAGAAGGGTTAGCCACGAAATGATTGCTTGTGTGCCTTGAAAAAACAACACTCAGGCAGTCTTGCAGTAGTTACCGAGTACAAGCAACTCTCCAAACATTTTTTATCAGCTCAACTTCATCGGATTCAGTGCGTCGCGCAAGGACTCACTGACATGTGAGCAAGCATTCGGACTCACTGACTTATGTCTCAGGTTCTGACCTCAAAACATGGATCATCTGCCTGCAGCCAGGCGCGAACGTTGAACGACAGAAGGAGCAAGTACAGATAGATCTACCAAATATGCAAACAGCACCAAGAATTACTCATGATGCACACATCAACCCCAAGAATTGACATGCGAAGACTCACTGAGGTCCAAGCTCAGCAGAACCACAACGTTACGACGAGCAAGGTGTTCCATTCAAGCACAACAAAAAGCAGAGAATTCTCATGGTCACGAACTGTGTATCCAAAACATCACCACGCTAAGCCCGCTCTCTCCTTGCAATCAGAACCTCCGTGCTCAAATGCGCGCACAGCATCAACAGTGCCTGTCAGACAGAGAATGAAAAACAAATACGCCATGACAACTTTGCGACACATTGACGCATCATCTGCTGGCCTGTGCCTGTCAAACATTGTTTGACCTGAAAGTTCAATGATAACAACATAGCTGCTGGGAGCAATGTGCTATCTACACGAAAGACTGCATATGCAAAAGCAAAATGACAGAAAACCCACGCAATCTTTCCGTCCACTCGAAGTAGCATTAGTGACGCTATTGCAACGCTTCACGGCTGCACACAGCTCTTTCACGGCGACAGCACGAGGTTGACCTGAAGCTCACATCATAACACGCATGCATATCAAAGCTCAAATTGTGGTCAAAGACTTGGACCCGCGGATGCTATTGCGCATGTTGCATTCTCCAATAAGCATCCCATATCCATGATTCATTTGTGATTTTCTTGAATGTATCCGCCGGTTGGTGGTTTCAATTGCTTTGAATAATATGATCCACTTCAATTTACGCATCGTCAAACTGACTCCGTCAAACTAAGTGACCAACAATGATGCGTCACACAGACTTGCCACTGCCCCGAGCGTCCGCAGGAGGGACACCACGGTCACTCAAGCTGTACGTCCAAAGACCTCAACACGCGGAATGGTAGGGACATCACCTATGACACATGTTTGTGTCTCAAAAACACTACATGGGCTCGAAATGACATACCCTTTTCTAGAGGCATGATCGGTTCATCAAGTCTTCAAACAAACTGATGATAGAACACGCACAAAAACATCAATTTCTAACTAACCCATATCATTCCATATCCATGATTCATTTGTGAATGTCTTGAATGTATCCCCCGGTTGGTGGTTTCAATTCCTGTGAACAATATGATCCACTTCAATTTACTCATGATCAACTTGTCTCCGTTGAACTAAGTGACCAACAATGATGCGTCACACAGACTTGCCACTGCCCTGAGCGTCGTCAATCAAGCTGTACGTCCAAAGACCTCAACCCGCGGAATGATGGACACATCGCTTGTCACACATGTTGCAGTCTCAAAAACACTACATGGTCTCGAAATGACATACCCTTCTATACAGGCATGATCGGTTCATCAAGTCTTCAAACAAAGTGACGATAGAACACATGCAAAAACATCAATTTCTGACTAAGCCAATATCATCCCATATCCATGATTCATTGGTGATTTTCTTGAATGTATCCCCTGGTTGGTGGTTTCAATTGCTGTGAATAATATGATCCACTTCAATTTACTCATGATCAAATTGACTCCGTCGAACTAAGTGACCAACAATGATGCGTCACACAGACTTGCCACTGCCCCGAGCGTCCGCAGGAGGGATACCACGGTCACTCAAGCTGTACGTCCAAAGACCTCAACACGCGGAATGGTGGACACATCACCTATGACACACGTTTGTGTCTCAAAAACACTACATGGTCTCGAAATGGCATACCCTTCTATACAGTCATGATTGGTTCATCAAGTCTCGTAAATAAACTGACGATACTAATAAAACAGGCATGATTGGTTCATCAAGTCTATCAAACAAACTGACGATAGAACACACACAAAAACATCAATTTCTAACTAACCCATATCATTCTATATCCATGATTCATTTCTGAATTTCTTGAATGTATCCCTTGGTTGGTGGTTTCAATTGCTGTGAATAATATGATCCACTTCAATTTACTCATGATCAACTTGTCTCCGTTGAACTAAGTGACCAACAATGATGCGTCACACAGACCTGCCACTGCCTCGAGCGTCCGCAGGAGTGACACCACGGTCACTCAAGCTGTACGTCCAAAGACCTCAACACGCGGAATGGTGGACACATCACTTGTCACACATGTTGCAGTCTCAAAAACACTACATGGGCTCGAAATGACATACCCTTTTCTAGAGGCATGATCGGTTCATCAAGTCTTCAAACAAACTGACGATAGAACACTTGCAAAAACATCAATTTCTGACTAAGCCAATATCATCCCATATCCATGATTTATTTGTGATTTTCTTGAATTTATCCCCCGGTTGGTGGTTTCAATTGCTGTGAATAATGTGATCCACTTCAATTTACTCATGATCAAATTGACTCCGTCGAACTAAGTGACCAACAATGATGCGTCACACAGACTTGCCACTGCCCCGAGCGTCCGCAGGAGGGACACCACGGTCACTCAAGCTGTACGTCCGAAGACCTCAACACGCGGAATGGTGGACACATCACCTATGACACATGTTTGTGTCTCAAAAACACTACATGGTCTTGAAATGGCATACCCTTCTATACAGTCATGATTGGTTCATCAAATCTCGTAAATAAACCCACGATAGAACACATACAACAACATCACTTTCTGACTAACGGTTACCATTCCTACTGACCGTTGGAAAAGGGTTCATGACTTTGGGTTACATTCTAAAAAGCAACGCGACTCAACATATCAAGGGTGGTCCATGTCAAATGTCATAGTGTAAATTAATTTTGCATCCGTAGCAATTCAAACTGCGTGCTAACCCGAACAACCTGTCCCAGTAAAGTCAACCGAGCGACGTGTAGACCACCAACAGAAGTGATGGCTACGAAAGAGCCATTTTGTGTTTCGTCAGAATCCCGTTGCGACAAACAGTCGCACGCTCTTGAAACGCTTCCAAGCGTTTTGCGATGCCAGCAGGTGGCCCCCGTTCTAGCAGCTCTCGAGGCGGTGGTCGAAATAAAAGCAAATCCGACAAGGAGGTGACCCGCGAAAACATGACATAAAGATGCAGCCACCAGTTGTCGTCATCCAATTCATTCAGGCGAGCGCAATCCACCACTGTGCCAGAACGCAATGTCAAGCCTTGCGAGCCAGTGCTCGTCAAGCAATGCGCGTGCGTCAACCGAAAGCCACATCTTCGGACTTCAAATTTATTGTACTGCACAACAACTTCTTCAGCTCGCAAGAAGTAGAAACTGCGGGCCAACTTCTCCGCTTCATCTGCGTTGCTTGAATGTTTATGACACAATGGCAGTAAGTCTTCCCAGTTGTTGCAACCTTGATAGTCTTTCACACTCACCAATAAACCAGACGGCAAAAATGCCGGCATGAATATTTCTCCCGGCCCAGTGTTCATGTATCGGGCGCGATCCGCCGGGTGGAACTCGAAATCCATGATGGTGGCCACAGTATCCTGCACGAGACCTTTCTCAGCGTCCAGACGCGCCAGCAGACGGATTTCCATTCCGGCAAAGCACGGCAAAATACCGTGCATCAGACCAGTCCGATATGGATTCGGTTGATTCAAGAAACGCAGACGTCTCTCACGGTCCATGCCCAAGCAAGTATCCGCTGCCTGCAAAAACACAAACGGCTGATTTCGTCGACTCGCATCCAAGATGACGCGTCGATAGAACATACGAATCAAGGAAGCCCAGTAGATGGACATGCAATAGCCAGAACGAAATCTGTCCGACTACAAGCGAGCATCTGCAACTCCAGGCAACTCATCGCGCACAACACGCTCTTCAAACTGCGCCCAAAGCCTGTCCGGCATGGCGTGACCAAGACGCATGCACTGCAAAATCTCAATCAGAGGATCCTGGGGTTGGAAACGCATCGTGCCGCGCAGCTCAAAGACATCTGGTATCTGCGAAAATAGTTTTTGCCCATGCTGCACTTCCAAAGGCACGTCTTGGTAAACGTATCTGCCATCTGCATCTTGCCCATCCATATCTTCAAGCAATGACATCTGCGCCGTGGGTCGTAACTGAAAAAAATCGCCCAAGTGCAAGACGATGGGCACGCGACCGAAAGCACAGCCAACTTTGGTGTAAGTCTGTGGATCCACCTTGAAAGCAACTCTGCGGCCCAACATAGAACGGTAATCAAGCATATTGTATAAGATTGCGGCAACCATGCTGATTTCCTCAATAATCAACACACGAATGTTCTTCCACATTCTCTCCAAAGCTTTTTCTTTCTTGCCCGCAGCCATCTGAGAGTTGCTTAAACTTTGGACGCGCATGCAGCCTGCCATATGCAACGTCTTCGCACGCACAGTCTCAGTGGATATGTTCTTGGCCTGTGCATTCTTTGCGGCAACCACCATCAAAGTCTCTTCTTCCTTCTTTGCCGGCCAAATAAAATGCACAACCGGAAAAATCAAATTTTGCACAATGTGTGTCTTGCCGGATCCACCTTGGCCCAATAACAACATGTGGTACACCGATCGTCGCTCCGGCGGCAGGTCCTGGTCCTCTTTCCATACCGTGTCCAAAACGTCTGCAAACCGTAAAATAAAGATATGTTGGTCTTCGTTGAGACGCCGATTCGACGGCAGATTTGCAACCATGTCCGACAGCATGTCCGAGGGATTTGCATAGATGTTCTGATCTGTGAAGCGAGCGCAATCTCGAGGTAGGCGAGGTAAAAGTTCTTGCATGATTCGCAGTCGACACACCGTCTCTCGCTCATCACTGTCGCGCGCCACTTCCTTCTCTTCCTGGAGATTCTCTCGTAGATTCCCATAAACATCTGCACGCTCATCCTAGCAAGGTCAGAACCTATACATAACTACAAAATATTGATCATTCCCGGAATCAAAGTCTACTACAGTTCGTCTCGTCAGCTCAACTTGCACTTGTGGGGGAAAAATAAAAAAGAAAACATGTCCTGATTCAACCGTGATAAATCGGCCAAAAGCAGTTCATGTCGTTGATGTTCACTGTTGCGACAAAGTGAAGCTGCTTCGAACGGATCGTCTTTCATCCACGTTTCCTGTAAAAACATCTTCACATATTCAGTCCGACGACCTTGCAGCTCAAATCGCAAAAGCTGTTTCTGTTCTTCTGCTGTGGGTTTCAAAGAAATGGGCGGAGACACTTCTTTTGCAGGAATTGCTTGCTCCAACATAGCTTCTACTTCCTCATCATTCTCAACACCGAGACCGTCATCATCACCTTCACCAACTGTGTGCACCTTCACATACTCCTCATGCAAACGAGCATCTTCGTCTCTTCTGCGCTTGGGTTTGCTCTGTCTGGCTCGCGCAAGGCCTTCCAGATTTGCAATTCGCTGTTGCGCCAGAAAAGAAGAATACATGGAGGCAGTGCATCGTGGCTTCCCAACATCGAAGTCTTTCTGCGTCGCCGGCAAGGTGCCACCGCTGACCAGCTGTAGCTTCTCCTCCAAGAGCTCCATCATTTCTTGTGTTTCCCACAAAGAAGGAAATTCAAATCTTTCAGCAAAGCGATGCCTGGCCATTTGGGCTTCTTCTTCCATGACAACCGCCCATTCCAAATACGACTGCGTAAAGGCTGTGTGTGCTCGCAGCGACTGGTCCACTTTGTCACCGGTTTCTTGTGGACTCGAAAAAGTTTTGAAAGCATTCAAAACTAATTCCTCCATCGTGTGCTGCACACTCTCATCAACCTGAACAGCCACAGGCCTACATTGTACTTGTTTGTACATAGCATTTCGCTCGCTGTCATGAGTCAGCGGCGGCATCGTGAAACCTTCAAACATCGGCACCCGAGGTTCACTGCAAATGCGTTGCGCGTGGGAGTTGTACAACTTGTAGGACGGATCAAAATACAGGTCCACGAACCGCGCAACCGCTGAGCGCACCGAAATCTCTTGCTGTGGCGGCAATTCGATCCGGTACACCCACGTTCCATATGTCGCCCAGCTCATGCCTGCGGAACAAACATGGGCCCGCTGCTTCCCCCTACAACATTCTTTGACAGCGGAACCAAAGTACAAACAAAAGAAAAACAAAAGCAAACCGAAAAAAAAATTACATGGGCCCTCCGCCTGCCAGCAAAGGATGACTGCCACGAAACAGATAATCCTCTAAGCTAGAGGTCGTCACTGCCAAAGCTTTGGCTTCTACGTTGCTGGTTGTCCTCACAGCACATTCTTCACCACTGGGTTGCAGAGATTGCAGGTTCGTGACAATGCTGGCCTCCGTGTCATTCGGAACCACCTCCTCCGTGACCGCATGAAGTTTCAGAAGCTCCTGCACATAGCTGAGCTGCTGTTGCGGATTCCTGCGGCTCTGACTCTGTCCTTGATACTCGTCAAATGCAGCGATGATGTCCACGCAAGCCTGTCCGTTCGGACCCACAAAGATCTCGTCCACAGCGCCACTCTCCGGATCCACTCGACGAACTCTTCTCCAGCCTTTTAGCACCAGATCGTCCACGCCAGGTCGACTGAAAATGACCGGCTCCGCTCCATCGCCCTTGTCAATAACATGCTGCAAGACGGAATGGCCGTATTGACGTCGCCAAGCTTCCACGGCAAAAAAAACTGCCTTTTTCACATAGAGTTTCCAAGTCCTGTGGGAAGCAAAGGTCAAATGCTGGAATAACAACGGAAAAATAATTTCAGCAGCACTCTTCCAGTGACAGCGGCGGTACGATGACGTCAGTCGCGTCAAGGTCCGCAGCGTATCAGCAAATATTTTGTTCCGGCGTCCTGGCAGATGTTCTCCAGCAGCATGAGCTGCTGCTTCCGCCGCTTTTCGAGCTTCTTCACGCTCTTTGGTTTCATCTTCCAGACGTTCGATGCCTCTTTGTAGTTCCTCCAACATGGTTGCTAGACCCGGACCTGGTTTCGTGGTGTAATTGTTCACATAGAAGCCGGTGTTGATGCCATCACAAAAAGCCTCATTCACACTGACGCGAATTGCTTGTGCCAAAGAAGTATCACCGCTGTTTGCAAAACTATCAGCAACATCGCAGGTCATAGGTGTGTCCGTCTGCGTCTCAGATGCCTCAGCGGGTGTCCCGCTCTCTGCCGCTTCTGCAAATCCAAATTTCAACCTGTACGCCCGACGCCATCCAGCGCGAAAAGATTTCGCCAACTTCCTCCGACACAACCAAGACACCGGGCCCGCAGGAGCATCTCGTCGAACATCGTAGCCCTTCCCAGTCCATTCATAAAAAGCCATATACCCCAAGGACGTCACAGCACCGACATGAGGAAGATGATCATCAGAATCCAACCACAAAACAGGGCTCACCACTCGCCGCATGTCCTGTAAGTCCAAATTGTGCCTCCCTGACACTGTGCCACCGTACGAACTTTGACATTCGAAAGGACTCAACTGAATCGGTCGCAACCGTCCTTCCATGCCATAAGCGCCCTCTTCTGCACCACCAATGTGTAAACAAGGTCGCAACGACTTCCCTTTGCGACGCACGCGGCAGCCATCAAACACGTGAACAACGTGGTAAAAGCCATGGCGACAAATTTTGAAAGTGGCAGAACTTTGATCCGAGTATTTGAAGCAAGATTTTGTGCAGACATGTCGAAGAAGCGAAGGCATCAAAGTATGCAAATCTTGCTGAAAGGCTTCCCGCCAAGCATGCGCGTCCAATTCTGGAACACTTGGATCACACAGCAAGGGCCGCAAGCGATAACTCGGAGTGGTTGCCACCGACAACTGGTTGATAGGTGTGGCGAAAATGCTCTGCAAGCCTGCTGCTTCCACTTCAACTTCTACTGTGGGTCGTCGCCAGTCGTCTTCAGAAACCAAAGCCAGGTACTCTTCTTGTTCTGCTGTCCTCTCTGGCAATTCCCGCAACAAATCCGTATTTACACAGATTCCGGGCCACCTCCTTGACTTTCACGGGCTTGTCCAAAGCGGTCGTTCCAAGACAACGTGGAGCCGCTTGCACAGAAGCATGTGAGATGGCTTCGAAACTTGCAACCGCAAGTTGCATGAATTCTTTCAGACGTTGTTGCAATTCCAGCTTATTTGTTCGCAACATTTCCGTCAGTTGACTCAACACTCCTAAATGTCCACAGACCAACCACACCAGAATGTGCGGGTGCAGGGAGCCGCGACATTGGGCTTCTATCTCACCACGAAACGCCAGCACCTGCTCCGGTGGACGCGGCCGCTGCGCCATCGCTGCACCACTCGCGGCACGCAGCCCTGACCGAGTTGCGGCGGCAGTCTGACGTCTCTGGTCGCACATTCAAAACATGCTGCAAAAACAACCTCATCAAAAGTTCAAACTGCAGCACTTGCCCAACCGGATCCTGCGCCAATCGGCGAAGCATGTCCCGATATTTTGGCAGCGTGGGCGCCATGTCGGCACTGATATGCCCAAGGTCAATTGCCTCACCCTGCACGACCAAAAGCAACGGATGTTGCGTGTCGGCGACATTCGGTGTGAGAAAAATCAAAGGTGGGCCGAAAGTCTCCATATAAGCGACTCCTTCGTGACGGCAAAACTGACGGTGACCATCTGTACCCAGCACGGCACTGGATGCTCCATGCATGGCCTGCATGGCATCCTTCACTTCTCTGGGAACCCCAGCATTGTTCAACATCTGATCTGCTGGAAAGAAGCACCGGTATCTTTGCTCACCCGAGCAGCTTGTGCCAACTTTTCTGCGGTGAGTCCTGCGATTGTTTTGGCAAAAGCCATGCCACCATTTTTCAAGAAACTGTATGACGCTGCACGTTGGTCAGTCAACCGACACACAGTGGCCATCATATGCAAAGCAACCCAATCACCAGTAAACCGATTGCGCACGGGACTCTTGTAATGATCATCCATGCTGTATTCCAGTTCTTCTCGCAAAAGCAAACTAGCAGCCCACTCATTGGTCGCCAACGGTGTCTCTCGCTCAAACAAGTTTCCAGCATCGCCATAACGCCACAGCCGAGGACGGGCCATCGTCCAAATTTTCCAGTCCCAAAGACTCAATGGCTTCTTTCCCCGAGCAACGACCAAATGTCCGGGCTTGTTCGAGTCAACTTGGCTAGTAGGCAGGGCGCCTTCCGTCGTCACACCGACTCCAGAAACCGCAGCCTCAGTGCCACCTGTGGCTACACCACTCGAAACCGAAGAGGACGAAGATAAGAACCAACGAGATTTGCTCATAACCGCATCCCGAAGCTCCTCTTCCAGTTTCCTCCTCAAATCTCCTGCCGACAGTTTCTGACAAGACTCATGAATTTCTTTACAGAGATCCAAGATACGCTGTCGACCGACATGGTCTACAAGCGTTTGTTGCTCATCGACGAAGGTCTCCATCTCAACAGCAACTGATCGCGCACCTGCTGCCTCTAATTCTTCCAATTTTTGCAAAAGAGTCACGATCCGACTGCAGACATCGTTGCGACCTTCGTTGAAATCAGACACTTCAGGCTCCATGGCAAAAACCACCGGCTCCTCATCGGGCGTCGTGCGCTGCTCTGTTGCACCAGCCGGGCCCTCTTGTCGCATCTGTCCGGGACCTCCTTCTCCCACAGGAACTGTCACAACGCAATCCAAAACGGGCTGCGGAACTTGTTGATCGAGCCACTCTGTCAGCAACTCTCTGTTGATCTCAGTCACACCAGCTGCATACACTGCATTGGTTTCTCGCAAGCTGGTGGCTTGTTCCACAAATAAACTCTTCTGCAACTGAAATTGCGCAATGCTGCGAACTGCAGCTTGGCCTTCTTCCTGTCCTTGTGCTTGTGGCAAATGAGTACAAAAAGTCACTGCCAATGCATCATTGAACTTGCGCGGTGGCAAACTTTCGACCGCATGGGTCGCATCACCATTGTGAAAAACTATAGCTGAACCAACCAATCCTGATTGTTGAAGAACATGATCCCATTGATTCGCACTTTGGGATCCGTGGCTTTGGTTCTGCCCAGAACGCAAAACCACTTTGGTCGCAACCGTTCTGGCCAAAGCCAAACACATCTCATGCGTCAGATTAGCTTGCCACAGCAATGGATCAATGCGACCCAACCAAAGATCGTTGGCCAAAGCAAATTTGCACAAAGTTGGCTTTTTGCCGCTAAAGCAGCCATAGCAATCGCGACATACGCGAACTGTTGCATCTCCACGAATAGCTGCATCAGGTACTCTACGTTTGTGCAGCAAAACATAGCACGACTTTTTCTTCGTGCCCACGTCCACAGCAGACGCTTGCAACTCCTGTCACATTTACGAAGAGAAACCCTGTGAGATGACAGTGTAACCAACAAACAACAGTACAAAAAACAATCCGACATTTTTTTCCACAACGCTCCTCCAAAGGAATCAAAGGCCACCGCTCATGATAGCGATCAACGCCCGTGAGCTTCCAGACCGCGTCCGGATTCTGCATGAAACATTGCTCGCCTTGCAGAAACACGTCATCCAACTCTTCCGTCCAAAACGACCGCGCACAAAATGCGCAACCGACCCGACTTCGTAACAACATTTCAGGCGAGTCTTGTGTTGCAGCAGCTTCCACAAAAGGCTTCTCCCAGTCCATGGCCCCGAAACGCAGAAATGTCGCATAGTTGCTCACATACTGTTGTCTCACCTGCGATCAGAACACAACCAAATGATCCGAACATATCTGAAGATGTTTATTTCATTGTCAATTTATAACATCTTGCTTCTATTCAACCTTTAGCAAGCCACACCTCCTGCCCGGTCACAACATGAGGGCACAAGGCTTCCAGAGAGAGAAATGCGTTTCGATATCGTTGTAGACCACCATGAACTGCATCGATATGAGCCAGCAAATCCACTCGATGTTCGAAGCCTTCCTGACACAGCAAGCAAGGCTGCGCAGCCACAGGTACAGGTTCTTCTAGCCATTCACGTAAATCTTCCTCCTCATGATCACGACGTAGGGGAAAAGCATATCTGAATCGATTGAATGGATGATCTTCGTCACTCGCTTGAGCTGCGCTGTGACCGGACATGTTGTTTGACCAAGTTTTGCTGCCGAAAGTTTCTTCTTGTCGACGTCGATTTTCCTTATCCCTACAAAGTGAGGCCCCCAAGTTATAACTTAAGTTGTAAGGGGGGTTAACTTAAGTTGTAAGTGGGTGTATGTTATGATGTAAGTTGGATAATTTATCATGAAGTTATAAAAAAGATGATAACTATAGATAAGTTCAGGGCTGCGAAGAGATACAAATAAGTTACGCGAGTTACGTTTTCGACGTCTCAAATCGAGCGTCAGGTTTACGAATGATTACTCCCGCTATTTTTAGGCTCAAAGTGCCGAAACAGGTCAAATCGACGCGAAAACAATGGCAGATGCCCCAAGACGCGCAAACATGCAGGATTATAGGAACTTTCCGCTGTACTTAACGGCGGATCTGTGGAACGTGCTTGAGAGCACTGAGACGACAACTTCTCAACTTCGGAAGATAGAATTGCTTTGCAATTATTTAGTCAGCTCTCTAGGACTTCGTCATGCCAGTGAGCCGACGGACGCAGTCGGTGCTAGTGGCCTTGGTGGGGCGGCGCATGGAGGCACTGCAGCAAAGCGCTTTGCTCCAAACGATAAATCAGTTTTGCGAACTACATGCACCAGGGCAAGGCACTCGGGAACCCCATTGCCAGGAAACGTTTACCTTGAACAACTGCCGGCAGGTCTGGATGATCTACCAGAGGCCTTTCGGACGCATGTGGCGACCTTGGGAATTTCAGCTGTGCCTGCTGGGGTGAACTTGGAAGAAATTTGGCAATCGGCACGCGCCACGCCATTGCGTAGCCGCAATCAGCAGTTGGTGTTGCAGCAAGCAGTGCACGGACGAGCTCCGCAGGGTGTTGCATCGCTTCAGTGCATGCAAGTCTTTCAGCAGCAGCTGGCCACGCAGACGGCCACAATGATGGCTCATGCTGTGGTCGGTGCCTTGCAGCTGCGTGACCAGGAGTTGCCGTTGCGCAACTTGCATGTTTTTGCACGACAGACAGAAACTGGGGCTGCGGCTCCGCGAGCAGCTGGCTTGGAGCAATTGATGCTCCGTGCTCAAACACCTGGTGCTTCTCTTGCTGCCTTGCAAGTGGAGCGTCGTTCGGAGCCAGTGTTGGCGTTGGCGAATGGTCCAGCGCAAGGAGGTGGTTCGACGGAGGAAAGCGCAGCTGCTCTGGAAAACGGAGTGGCGGCGCCGGAGATCCAGGCAGGGGAAGTTCCAGCGGGTGCGTTGCCTGCTGCAAGCGGTGCAGTGCCCAACGCAGCATTTGCGGCTGCGGATGGTGCAGCTGTTGCGGCGGCTGCTGCTGCAGAGACACCAGAGCCCCCGACTGAGATTCCAAGCCAAGTTGCCGCGACGGTCCAGAGTCTCGCGAAGGCACACTACGAAAAGGCATTGCCAGATTCAGGGAAAGGAAAAGGAAAAGGCCTTAAGAAATCTCTGAAGAGACCGTCTGCGGTGAGGCAGACGCCGTTGAAAAGGCCTGCAGCTGCACAAGCGCCTGCGATTGAGAAAACGCAGGAGCATGATGAGCCAGCGAAATCTTCGACTGCAACTTCTGCCAAGAAGCGGCCTGCTTCGGCCGCTGGGGGTAAGGCTTCCAAGAAGCGTCCGGCGGCCGCTGGGTCTGCGGAGGGAGGTTTGAAACATTTGTCAGAGAAGGAAAGGTTCAAGTTGCAGCCTCACGGGTGTCCCACTTGCAGGGGACGCCCTGGGTGCTGTCGCTCGTGTTGGGCTAAGCGTGGTTTCCGCGTGCAGTAGTGTAACCGGTTGACGAGTGGCACTTGTAGAAAAAATGCATTACTTGTTTTGTTTTTGCAAGTTGGTTATAGCATGTCAGCAACGTTGTTGTAATATATATCTGTGGTATAGACAGATATAAACATAATATATATATATAATATATCTACATTTGTATATATATATAGATATATTCGGGACTCGGAAAAAGGAAAGAAATCTGTTTGTCATAGCACTTTTAACTTGTTCTTACAGTGTGTCATCTGTGCATCTTTGTGCCCGTTTTTGCTTTCAGTACATATGCTAGAGGCCCCGGATCTCCGTTGGGTAGCGTTCCATGACTTTGCAAACTTTCCGGGGGGTGTTCACCAAGAAGTTGGCTGATGGCACCGTGCAGCTGCGCTTAGGGGATAGGCGCGAACGATGGACAAAGATCAGGTGTAAGACCTTGGAAAGCCATTGGCATTTGCAGCCTGCTGCGGCAGCTGCACCAGCAACGCCAGACATTGCTGCCAGGCCATCCGCGGATGCGCCGCCTGTGCTTGTGCGCTGGCGTGCCAAGGTGTTGACACACACTCAGGCAGCTATCAGAAGGGTGCAAGAGAATGCGGCCGAGTGGGGATATCCGCTCGAGGAATTTCCTATATTAGAAGAGTTAGAAGACATGCAGCTGCGGCTGCGAATGGATCCGGCATTACCGCCATGTGAGGCACATGCTGTGCTGCGAAAGGCGAAGGAATATTTGTTTATGGCAGAACTCAGTAGTGATAGTGATTAGCCCCGCATGAGAATGACAATTTTGACTGGGCAACGCTTTTGAGGAACATTTAAAGAGTTTTGCTGACACTTCAGGTTGTAGACGCCCCACCAGCATTTGATGTGGGGGACGGGAGTCTCAGGGGTAGCAGACATTGAACTAGCGACTGTTTGGCACAAGTTATATAAGGGATTACTCCGGCAGGTTGCATGACACTACGACTTATTGCAGCACCGGTTAGTTTGGGCTCAAGGGATCTCGCGCGTCGGTACCCCTGCGGTGCCCCGGCACGGGAGCAGGCCAGGTTCCGGGAATGGGATGGAATAATCATATACGCAGTATAGGAGATTTCGATTATGTGTATTTTTCTGTCTATATATAAGGTCCATACATTCCAGAATATATTTCAATGCAAATAATATAAGTTGAAGCAATGTGCCTGCTTGCAACACGTTGGCGGCCTGCGGGCTGCTTAGGGTTGCATGCGTGCTTGCAACGCGTTGGCGGCCTGCGGGCTGCTTAGGGTTGCGTGCGCGCAAGACATTGGCGGGCTGCGGGCTGCTTGGTTGCGTACGCGCAACACGGTCGTGGCCTGCGGGCTGCTTGGTTGCGTGCGCGCAACACGTTGATGGCCTGCGGGCTGCTTGGTTGCGTACGCGCAACACGGTGGTGGCCTGCGGGCTGCTTGGTTGCGTGCGCGCAACATGATGGTGGCCTGCGGGCTGCTTGGTTGCGTACGCGCAACGCGGTTCCTGAGTTCACTGCAAAGCTGACATGTGGCTTGCGGCTGCCATGCGTGCGTCAGGGTGTCTCATTGAATTTACCACCATTCGAGATACATATATAAAATTTAAGACAATTTCAGATATAATATATACTGTATAACGTTAGATGCAACAACCGTTTACTTCTATATGTTGTATATATAATCGATCTATAATTATATATAATACATATATATATATATATTATATAATATATAAATAAATATAGACTTATATCCTTCACACCATCTTCTGGATCCTCATGCTCTCTATCTTGCCGCTGCCGCAGGTGAGCCATGTCCAGTAGTGAGGAAAGCCGTGACGATAGACGTGGACCTGCGGGTCCTGAGGAAAAAGCAGCAGGAGAAGGAGCGGACGCTGCGATGCAGCTGGCGCGGAAGCGCCAAAGGAAAAACCGAGTGAAGAAGATGGCCAGAAGGATGCAGCTAAGCCTGCGCGAGAGGCCAGTCACAAGCCAGGCGGCGCTCGCAAAAACTGGCACCGCAAGGACGGGGATGACGACACGTGGACGTGCCCAGACTGCAAGCGCGTGATCAAGAATCACCCCGCGAGCAAGGACCAACATCGGGTGTCGGCCTACTGCTTCTCGCATCGCTTATGGAACGCACATGCGTTCGATGACTGGTCGCTGTGCGAGAAATATGGAAAGGAATGGGCAGCTGGGCCGGACAGGTACGGTATGAGGTCCGTGCTGGCAGGTTCTACCAGGTGAAGCCGCCACCTGTGTATTGGAATCGGCCACGGGAGCCCGCGGGGCTTCCGCCAGCCAAGGTTGGCACGGGGTACGAAGAGGAGGGCCGGAAGGCCACCAGGAACAGACACTGGGACAGTCGCTCGAAGGAGCGAACGCACCGGCGGAAGGAGCGATCTCGCTCCCGCAGCAATCGGCACAGGCTGCGGTCGCGGGACAGTGCGCGCGCCGCACGATCTGCGGAGCGACGCAGGCAGGACAAGCGCCGCAAAGCATCAGACACCGAGAGTGAGGATGAGAGTGTAGAGGTGGACTATGAAGAAGATGGTCGGGCGCGGAAGAGTAAGACAGTGGCTCCGGCTACTGCGTCCGAAGAAAAAGCTGCAGCTGCGAAAACAGAAAAATCGCAGCTCAAGGAAGCTGCCAAGAAGCCGCGGAAATCGTCTGGGAAGGATGGCGATGGCTCTGTCCAGAAGGCGCCCAAGTCTTCGGCAAAAGAGAAGGGCAAAGATTCCTCGGACGAATGCACCTACACGAGTAGTCCGGAGGAAGACAAAAAGAAGCCGCTGGTGGCGACGAAGTCCGCTGCCGCTCCCGCAGCCAAAGCTGGCGGCTTGGCGCTGCCAGCTGTTGCGAAGGCGGCGCAGAAAGCTTCTGACCGTAGGTTGGAATACATGAATTCATTGCTGAAGACTGCAATGGAGACGACTGCCCGGTTGCACGACTGAAGCAGCTGTATAGCAGCTGTCAGCGCGCTGAACTGACGCGACGCGCTGGACGCGCGACTCGCAATCCCTGAAAAAGGTTGCGCTTCGCTTGGTGAGATGCTCCGCGTTCAGAATCAATACTGTTTAGGTAAAAAGAAGGCAACGACGAACATTTGCAGACCAAAAAAACAGGCTTTCTGGAAACGTTACTGTGTTTCTCCATTGCATGGATGGAAAAGACGGGAAACGCGTTTCTGTTTCCCATTTTGGAAGCAAAAACGTAGAAACGCGAGGGTATTTGCACAAACGAACCATAGGACCGTGCAGCTGTTTCCTTCTTATCATATCCAGCTGGGCGGAAACTCGTGTGTTTCCACAAAAACATGGGAACGCGGTTCTGTGCCCTAGTATATCGCATGTCAACGCGAGTCTGTTTCTTGGTTTTATAACCAAAGGGTTGGAAACGCGTGTGTCGTTTTTGTGTTTCTTTGTGTTTCCTTGGAAATCCAAAAAATAGTACCTTTTAACCTTGCCTCTAGGCTCAAAGGCTTGGCCTCAACCGTCTCAGACTGGAAAATCGTCGTCATGGCTGAAACCGCAGCTGCTGCTCCAGCAGTCATGCAAGTGGCTGCTTCTCAGGAAGCGACGACGGATGCGGTGGTTGTGGTTGATGGTGCTCAGGCACCGACGGCAGAAGCTGCTGAGGCAGCAGTGGAGACAATCGAAGCTTCTGCAGAAGCGCTGGCGCCTGCTGAGGATGCGATCCCTGCTTCGCAGCCTAGGACGCCTGAGGTGGCGACCTGTCGGCGCTGCCAGCAAGAGATCCAAGTGAAGGACGCCATCTGCACGGCGAAATTCCGATTGGAGTTGCGTTACACTTGCCATCCCTGTCACGCGGTGTTGTCGCAACTCCAGAGGCGCGGTGTCGACATCAAAGAAGTTCTCACCGAAGCTGCTGCAGTCACGTTCTTTCAGGACGCAAAGAATGAGCGTGCCAACGGCATGGAAGGTCGTCTGTGCTACGCACAGTCCCGCGCGTTGCTGGTGCAAAAGATGGTTGAATCGACAACCCACTTGGAGAAGAATGGCAGTGAAGGAGAGTTCCAACCGCTGTCACATTGGATGCTGCGGGGATACGACTGCGATCGTATCGAGGCGCTGGCTGAGCGCCGGGAGCATCCCATCCTCGGCCCGACGTTCCGGGTGGACATCGACAAGATGTCCAAGGAACAAATTCGAGCCATTACGGAGGAACGGTTGCTGAACATCGAGAGCCAGGCCCGTGAGCGACAGCAGCACAGGGCGGCTGGTGGCGATGGCAGCAGTGCTGCGGCACGAGCTTTGCCTGACTTAGGGGTCGAAGTGGAGCATGTTGCTGCTGCGGCAGACAAAAAGCGCAAATCCCCTGAGGAAAAGCAAGCGGCCTCTGCTGCGGCTAAGGCCCAAAGACAGGAAGAGAAGAAACGGCAGAAACTGGAGCGTGTCGCTACCTCCGCTGCTGCAAAAGTGTTACCACAGCTGAAGAAATGTTATGACAAGCTCAATGAGGTGCTGGACAAAGTTAGCACATGTGGAGCGGGCCTGCCGGAGGCAAGCGCAGAACATGTGCAGAAGACAAAAGCAACCTTGGAAGAGACGGTGAAGCATGCCACCCACATGCTCGCAGCAGCCGCCAAGGGACAAGATCTGAACCTTGGAACCGACGTCTTGAAGACGGAAAAAGGTTTGAATGACATTCTCAAAGAAGGGAATGCAGCCATTCGATCACTGCAGTTCTATATCCGTGAGACGAAGGAGAGTGCCAAAGCCGCAAAGGCTCAGGGCGGTGCGGCGAAGGCAAAAGCAAAGGCCAAGAAATGAGTCGCTGGTCCCTGACCAGAAGATCCTGCGTGGATGCGTTCTTAGACGCAGCACGGGTGAGTACTATACGTAGGTTGCTTCCAGGCCAGGTGCCGGCTTTGATGACTTGGGTTGCTGCAACCAGCAAAGAAAGTGCTGACTTTGCAGAACACGGGGCGATGAAAAGACGTTCATGCCATGTCTATCAAAGCCGCGTAATCTTCTGCCCAAACCCAATTGCATGTCGGATTGCGTTGCACATATCACATGTCTGTCCATGTCACTTCCTCCACCATATATATTTTCAAAGTTGGTATTGACATGTATTGACGTTGCCACGTTGTTCCGCAAGCAGTGCATCTTTCGATAATCTATATCTCAATAGATATGATGTTCATATAATACCTCTGTATATATATATATACACAAATATGCATAAATAAACCCCATCAAGACAGAAGTCACATGAAGTCGCGTCAGTTCTGACGGTGCATCCTGTGTGCGCTCACTGTGGCACGTGCAACGGCCATAGCCTTGCAGAAACAATGCGGTGGGAAAGAAGATATCGAACGGATCGCTGATGCGCTAGAAAATCTGAAAGAAGTGCTGGCGCAGATCCACGTCAGTGAGGCATATGTGGATCATGTGTCCATGACGAAGTTTTGTGATCGCGTTCTCTGGTCGACCCGAGGGTTGCTGCTGCAATGGGAAGTGACGACCACGTCCCTGCAAGAACTGCCTGTGAAGAAAATGCCAGCCTTGGAAAAAAATCCCGTTTGGAGGATCACGCATCCGAACCGGGAGAGGTACTTGAGCGAAGTCTCCGCGGGAGTCAACTTCCTGCTGGCTCAGCAGGAAATATTGACAGGGGAGCCTTGGGATTGGCTTTTCCACTTCGTTCATCAGTTAGAATATAGTCTTTTGTGAGCACAGAAACATCGAAGCGGGTATGAAAAAAGCATGTGGGCCATCAGAACTGCAATAAACACATATTACTCACTACTGTATATACGTGTATACATGCACGCATGTCTATATGAATTATATCGCATGGCCCCGACACGTGTCACACTCATTGTTCTGTTGCGTTACAATAGAAAGAAGCATTCACACATAATAGTTCTTGGTTCAAGCAACGGTCATGCGCCAAAGCACCGTTCCAACGGGTGAACATGCGCGAGGCAAAGACGTGGCTGCGGCCATGGCCCGATTCAGTGAAAATAGTATCGCCAAGATAAGAGGTTGGCTGAATGGAAAAGCTTGCAACCAGAAGAAGTCTGGCGCACTGAAACGAAAAATGAGTGCAGCCTTGAGTCCTTATCGTGCTTGCTACAAAGAAGTCGCTGTGTGCGAGAAAGAAACGGGGCAAAAGAGCATAATATTCTATATGGCAGACGTGCGGCGTTTGCTTCGCTTGTATGCTTCTGAATGTCCTTCGTTTGCCTCTTTGCTGCGAAGCCCGGCAGCGCGAAAGTTCGATGTGTTTCTTGCACACGACGAGGCGACTGCAGGAAATGTGCTCAATCCGCAGCAACGAATGAAAACTTTGTTGGTGTATTTTACGCTGAGGCCGCTGTCGCAGTACTTCGAAACTGCGCGAGCATGGATGCCTGTGGCGGCAATCACCCACGAACAAATACAGCAGTGTCCTGGCGGCCTGAGTGCCATTACGGCCTGCATTGTCGAAGACTGGCTGGAGCAGAACTTAGTCAGCGACTTTGTGGTCGCAGACGGTGTGCCGCCCATGTCCCTGGCAATCGCAGGATTCATCAGTGATATGGAAAATCAACGGGGCGCTTTCGCAGCCAAGGGAAGCGCAGCATTGAAGCCGTGCATCCGCTGTGGAAATTGTCTCATGAAAGGCGCACAAGGCGCTGAGGTGTCTGAAAATTTCTTCACAATCGAAGAGCATGACCTTGCTCTCTTTGTTGCGAATGATGCACGCGACGTTGAGAATTACATTGTCCACTGGATAAACCAAATCCCAAACGTGAGCAAAGCGGAAGTGGAACTGAGACAGAAATGCTTGGGATTCCAACTTGATCCGAACAGCATCTGGTCTTATCCCCGGGCTCGCAGCATCTGCCACATTGGCATTGCGATCAACGATGCAATGCATGCCTATTGGGCAAATGGTATTTGCAATTCAGAGATTGCATTGGTGGTCAATGCTGTGAAGCGGCATACCCATATGGATGTGAGCCATCTCTGTGATGCCATGGTCAGTGCAAACTGGAAAAGACATAAGCCAGAAGAGAATAAGCATTGGTGCAAGCGTCTATGGACGCCTGCTTTGTTCGGGGAGTACGAATACAAGGGATCCGCCACGCAGTGCCATGCGTTGATGGCCCTTATGAGGTGGTACTGTGAGACCCTCTGGGTTCACATCCCATGCTTGCGCGCTGTCGCTGAGTGCTTCTTGGCGTTGGCGCGCTGCACTGATGCTTTGCGCCAAGGCAAAAAGACACATGACTGGTCAGACCTGGACAAAGCCCAGTCAGACCATCACAAGCTTTTTGCCACGGTGCATCCTGGTCTCATGAGACCAAAACACCACCACCGCTTGCATCTGAGCAACCACTACCGCAAACACCATGTCAGCAGCAATTGTTGGGGCATTGAACAATCCCACCAAAACTACAAGACCATATACGCTGACAACTTGCAACAGTTCCTTCGAGCTGACAACGGAGGAAAGGCATACAGCCAGCAGCTCATGCCACGGCTGCTGCTTCGTTCTCTGCAGCTGTGCCGAGAACATCCGTTCGAGAGCGGAGACTTCACACTGGTTTCTCCGTTTACAACGGCAGAAGTCGAAGCCAGCACTGGACTGCAAGGCACGGAAATCAGTCGCAGTTGCCGCCTGCGACTTGGGATTATCCACGAGAACTCAATAGTTCTCTGGGGGAAAAGCTATGAGAACGCCGCTGTGTGCCGTTTTTTTTTGGAACGTGACAAAAGACACTTTGTCTACTTCACTAATTTGCATCTCTCTGCAAGAGGCGAGTCATATCGCTGCTTCCGATCCATTGGTGAGGCCGACATCATGCCAATGGATGAATTGCATCCCTTGCGCATCCCAGCCTTCACTAGCGCTGAAAGCGCAAAAATAATTTGTTTACTCTGATGCAACCGCTAATTTGACGTGAAAAACAAGAGTCTGCGTAACCAATCCAAAAAAAAATGCAATCAACATCGAATTTGCCAAATTGCAGCCGCTGAAAACTTACACGAGATACATCTTAAGTTACAAAACCCATAAAATAAGTTACGATAACTTCATTGTAAGTTAGATATGTCTATTTGTATCATCATAACTTAGTTATATCTTAGGGGCCTCTCTTTGTACCATCATGTCTCCGTTGACGTTTGTTGTCCCCTCTGTCGTCTCCTCGGCGACCTTGACGTCCCTCTTTGCGTTCCTGTTTGCGACCTTGACGTTCCTGTTTGCCACCTTGACGTTTGCGACCTTGACGTTCCTGTTTGCGACCTTGACGTTCCTGTTTGCGACCTTTTCGCAACTCCAACCTGCGCCGCTCTATTTGCTGCCGAGCACGTCTCGCAGCATGTCTCTGGTCATCTGAGTTCCAGCCAGCCGAAGCCGCGGGCACAGTGACAGCTGACACCAACAGGTCCGGCAAGCGATGCAAGAATGTGCCCGGCGTAGCTTCTGGGACTTCCGGTGCAGAAAATCTTTGCCTCCGCACTTTCTCCATGAAAATGAGACGGGGCCAAATTGTACCCACGCCAGCTTCCAAGCGAGTAACGACAGAATCAGATTCATCACATTTGAACCAGCCGGTCTTCTGCTTCACGTATGCAATAAAATGGTGATTGCTACACTCCACGAAACCTGTCACAACATAGAGCACACGAGGGTCCTGCACAAGACAACAAACATGAGCATTGACTACAAAGCACACCAGACAAAAACCAAACACGAACCAAACACTAACTAACAACCAAAACAGTATTTTTGTTCCACTGCGCTGTCCTGTTCTCCAAACTTCGCTAGTAGTTGCTTCCAGTTCATCGAAGCACCCGCACGGCTTTCCAGTTGCAAGATGACAACATCCGAGTTCGGCCAGCCACGTTGAAAATTTGCGCGCATCACTTCTTCCACGGTGATGGCACGGCGATCCGCCTCCGTCGGCATCTCTGCCATCAGATACAATCCGTCGGCATGCGGAACCTCTCCTGCAACACAATAAGCACATGTCTAGACCAAAGCACACTACAACACCTAGATTGTCACACTTGCCATATTTCAAACCCCTACCTGTAGCTTCCGAACTGCTCACATACAGATTGCGATCGCTCATGCCAGTCGCCAAAAGGATTTCGCAGCAATCACTGCAATCTGCAGGCTCACCAGGCGGAAATCTGACAGAATCAGTGAGGTACATCTGATGAAGCAAAGACCACGGAGCTATGTAATCCCACTCCTCGCTCCGGAGCCGCTGCGCCACATCTTCCATGCATTTGCGCAACGGCCCTTTCGGTGTCGTGACTGCCAAATCCCGCTGCAAAGGTTGGCATGCAAGGATGCACTGAACAACAGCGTTCAAGAAGCAAGAGTTGCCCAAGTTGCGCAAACCAGTGTGCCAAAACCGGTCAGTGACACCCGACGTGCCACGAGGCCGACTGTTATAGTCGAGCCTCCACTGCAAACCCAGGTCCCGCATCCACCGAGCGGAAACTTCCAAGGCAAACCTTTCGATCGCCAGATGTTCGTTGACCAGCTGCTTCGCAGCTTTGAAAATTTGCCCTTGTTCGGACCCCGCAGCAGCACGCCGCATCCGTGTCTTCAATGAACGGGAACAACCCCGAAGATCTGCGGTGGAGCCTTGCTGCAACCAATGCAACATAGCTTCACGCACTGCCTTTTCTAAAGATGAGTCTGCTGCCCCACTGTGCTGCCTTAACCTGGCCTCCGCGGCTTGCAAAGCCACGATGGATATGCCGGCACTGGCCAGTAACTGCTTGGCATCCTCCACCGCTTCAGCTTTCAAAGTTCTTCTGGGACCACTGTAAGTATGTCCACTCTTCTTGAAATGCGCACGGAAAGTTCCTCTCATATATTCTTCTGCCCGTTGCGCTTTGGCCTCAGGACATGCAGTGTGCAACTGTGCGACAGCTCTACTCATGTCAGCGGACGCATCACGCGCAGCTTCCAGCTCTCGCAGATCCGCTTCGGCCGCTGCCACGCGACCTCGCCATGGACCAGTATGCCGCGAGCCAGCGACTCGGATCCTGACTCGAAAAGAGGAGCCGCGACTTTCCACGGGCATGGCTCTTCTAAGTGCTATGTCAAAATGTACCTATTGGTATTTATGCATTTCATCTGCACTATGCCAACTTTCCTGTCATGCTTGTGGAAACTGGTTCTGTGTCACAACCAAGTATGTCACGTAACTGCCTGAAATCGAAAGTTTTGTCACGCCGACTCACTTCCGAAATCGGCAGCGAAAAGACAGTCGCCGAACTCTGCTGATGTCTGTGTTATATATAGATTCTATCTATCTATCTATCTATCTATCTATCTATCTATCTATCTATCTATCTATCTATCTATATATATATATATATTCGTATATGTCTATATATATATATATATACATAATATATATATATAAATAATGTTACATAACAGCAACACACACCAGAATGTCTATATATATATATATATAGATATATCTGGATACTATTCAACCACATCAAAGAAGTATGTCGCGTAACTGCCGGAAATCGACAAATCCTCACACCGACCCACCGCCGAAAGCTACAGCAAACAGTCAGTCGCCAAAAGCTGCGGAAACGATCGCGTACAGACAATGAATCGCCCCATGCCGTGTGCAAGAATTCGGACTCTCTCAGGATCTGACCTCAAAACATGCATCATCTGCCTCCAGCCAGCCGCAAACGACACAAGGAGCAAGTACAGATAGATCTACCCGGTATGCAAACATCAGCAATGTCTCGCCAGATGGCTCATGCTGTACACTGCAATCCCAGTAATTGGCATGCGAAGACTGACTGAGGTCCAAGCTCATATATATATATATATATATATGTAGATATATTCGTTTATATCTAGAAATTGTCCATGCTCAGATAATATGATTGTCCATTCGACACATGCAACTTCAAGAAAATGCCGAGAAGACCTACTGAGTTCCACCAATGCTGCGCCAAATTACTCACATGATGCACACATCAATCCCAAGAATTGACACGCGAAAACTCACTGAGGTCCAAGCTCACCAGCAACAACAACGTCACACCAAAAACTACTCATGAAATGAAACCGTGGAGAAGCGACAATGACTGCCATTCGCAACGGACAACATCTACAGAAGCGTACTGAGCTCCAAACCTTGCAGACAGCGTCATGATAGCGCATACCGAAACCGAAATAGCTGCAACACCAGCGAAGTACCATGAAGTACCGAAACCGAGAGAGGGAAAGAGCGAGAGACAAAGAGAGCGAGGAAGAAGAAAGAGATAGAAAGGGATGAGTTGAGTGAGATGAGACTAAGACATATATATGTCTGTGTGTGATATGTGTGTCTGATGTGATGTAATATGAGGTGCCAGGAAGCTCTGTGTGCTGATGATGCTCTGTGTGCTGCGCCTGCCACGCGAAAGGCGGCCGCGGCCCCAGCGGCGCCCACGCGCGCCACAGCTCCTCCAAACGGCTCTGTGTGCTGCGCCTGCCACGCGAAAGGCAACCGCGGCCCCAGCGGCGCCCACACGCGCCGCAGCTCCTCCAGGAGGCTCTGTGTGCTGCGCCTGCCACGCGCGCCGCAGCTCCTCCAGGAGGCTCTGTGTGCTGCGCCTGCCACGCGAAAGGCAGCCGCGGCCCCAGCGGCGCCCACGCGCGCCGCATCTCCTCCAGGAGGCTCTGTGTGCTGCGCCTGCCACGCGAAAGGCAGCCGCGGCCCCAGCGGCGCCCACGCGCGCCGCAACTCCTCCAGGAGGCTCTGTGTACTGCGCCTGCCACGCAAAAGGCAGCCGCGGCCCCAGCGGCGCCAGCGCGCGCCACAGCTCCTCCAAACGGCTCTGTGTGCTGCGCCTGCATCGCGAAAGGCAACCGCGGCCCCAGCGGCGCCCACGCGCGCCGCAGCTCCTCCAGGAGGCTCTGTGTGCTGCGCCTGCCACGCGAAAGGGAGCCGCGGCGCCAGCGGCGCCCATGCGCGCCGCATCTCCTCCAGGAGGCTCTGTGTGCTGCGGCTGCCACGCGAAAGGCAGCCGCGGCCCCAGCAGCGCCCACGCGCGCCGCAAGTCCTCCAGGAGGCTCTGTGTACTGCGCCTGCCACGCACAAGGCAGCCGCGGCCCCAGCGGCGCCCAGGCGCGCCACAGCTCCTCCAAATGGCTCTGTGTACTGCGCCTGCCACGCGAAAGGCAGCCAGGAAGCGAGTGAGTGAGGGAGGGAGATGAGTGAAGATGAGTGAGTGAGTGGGTGAGTGAGTGATGAGTGAGTGAGAGTGAGTGAGAGAGTGAGTGAGTGTGAGTGAGTGAGGGAGTGACTGAGTGAGGGAGTGAGTGAGGGAGTGAGGGACGGAGTGAGTGAGTGAGTGAGTGAGTGAATGAGTGAGTGAGTGAATGAGTGATGAGTGAGGAGGAGGCGGCGGAGGAGGCGAAGGAGCGGAGCCCCGGCGGGATCCAAGCGAAAAACAAGAACCCCACACAGTGATGTGGGGAACAACCACAACAACAACAACAACCACAACAACAACAACCACACCAACAACAACCACACCAACAACAACCACACCAACAACAACCACACCAACAACAACCACACCAACAACAACCACACCAACAACAACCACACCAACAACAACCACACCACCAACCACACCACCAACCACGCAAAGTGCCGCGGCGCCACGGGCGTCACGCGCGACTAAACCGGGCCACAGGGGCGCCACCCAGTGCCATGAGTGAGGCGCCTGCCACGCAAAACCACCGTGGATGTGAGATTGTCCCACGCCTGCCACGTGACATCAAGGTGGATGTCATCAAGTTAGTGTATGTTAAGTTTGTGTGTGAAGTTATTGTATGTGAGAGATGGTATGTGTGTGAGGAAGTTAGTTGATGTTAAGTTTGTGTGTGTGGACCAT